ATGGGGGTTCTGAGATTTCTCAGCCATGTGAGAGTAGCCCCCCTGAGACACAACACCGCGCAACTGCGAGCATAAAACGTTCGACCTAAAGCAAGAAAAACGATTGCAAATTGGGGAAACTACGACTACGCCTTGGGACGGGGTCCTCCGAGCTGTTTGAATTCCTGCCAGACGGCAGAGTACGTATGCCGCCACAGTTAAAAACCGTGCACTCTTTGCAACCTCTGCGTCTTAGCCTGGCGGGGATCCCCAAATTTCAAAATGTGAGGACTTGGAAAATGCATGTTCTCGCCGTTTTCGCGCCTTCTGATGTGGATTTTCGGATTCAGCGTTGCGGATAACCCCAGATAAGTTGATTTTTTAGAAGTCGAGTTTCTGCCCGGACACTGCCTTTAAACACCATTTCATCCTGCGCAGCCGTGTAGGCACGCTCCTCAATGTTAACCCGCATAGTGACTCGCTTCTTTTTGTGCTGAGAACATTAGAAGTGTCATCGTCTTTTATCAAACATAGTACTACAATGGTGTGATCTTCGGCATAAGAAAGATCTTGCAGGAGACCGACAAGATACCTTGAAAGTTGCAAAGCCAGTGTGAACGCCTAGTGTTTGGTTTCATACTAAGACACAAAAACAATTGTTAAGTATACTAGCAGGTGTCTTGATTTACACAAAGAATTTTAAATTTCTGATCTAGCTTTTGAAAACTTGCAGGATATTGAAAGAAATCCATAAAAGTTTTTCTCGTTAAACTCTCGATAAACTCGTTTGCAACTGCAGTTATTTCGCATGTCGCCCACGAAAAACATCAAAAACGAACCAGTTCTTATTGATTTAGAAAATAGTAAACGACGGCTAACACGACAGTTCATAATCATCACTACTTCAGAAGAGATTTTCTTATTTTTCAAACAAAAACGAGGTGAAAGAACAATGCATGCATAGAAAAAACTCTCAAGGTGTCCCTCGCACCTCAGCGATATCGCCCAGTCGCCCCTGCAGCACGCGCGACGCGACATCGCTGAGTTTGGCCGAAATCGCGGCGATTATCGCTGCAGAACTATGCCCTAGCTAAAAAGGGTCCGCGATCCGTCGCGCCGGACGAGTATCACAAGCGCCGTAGCAGACGTATAGACACACAACGAAAGCGTAACAATTGTCGTGATTCAGAAATCGCAGCGCGACGGTATCGTGGACACTATGCCCTAGGCCTAAGTGGTTGATCTGAACATGGTGCGCCTGTGGCGGTTACAACACCTGTGCGGGAAAAGACGCCATATCGTCCCCTCCACAGCTCGTGCTGCCCTTCGTCTGCGTCTCAGAAACAACATGTTTGCAACATGCAGCAACATGTTGGCAGAACATTATGGCCACGCCAACATGTTGCTGCATGTTGCCAACGTGTTGCTGCCAACGTTGCCAACGTGTTAGTCACACGTGGCACGTCCGCGCCAGAAGGGTAGCAGCAAATGTGGAAGGGACGATAGTTTGATAACAATACTTGCGCGTAAAGGGCCGGGCATACTTCGCGCGATTCAGTCCCGACGCGACTTGGCGATTTGCCAAAAGTCTTCAGATCCAACACTGGCAAACTGCACATGCATAGTGTGTATTAACTTACGTAGTTTGATAAAATGTCCTATCTTCTGTACATTTAGAATGTGCCTACAATGAGTTATGGACGCTTGGAATATTGCCAAATCGCGTCACGACTGAAATCGCGTGAAGTATGCCCGGCCCTTAAAATGCTAATGGTTGGCTTTCTCTAGCCCTCTACTCAAATGCTGCAACATCGCAAGATCACTAACGTGGATCAAATCTGCTATATTAAGGGCCGGGCATACTTCACCGATTTCAGTCGCGACGCGATTCGGCAATATTCCAGCTTTCCATAATTCACTGTAAGGGTTTTCTTAGTGTGCTGAAGATAGGACATTTTATCAACCCACGTAAGTTAAACACACTATGCATGTGCGGAATGCTAGTGTTGGATATGAAGACTCCTGGCGAACTGCCGCGTCGCAACTGAAATCGCGTGAAGTATGCCCGAGCCTTTAGATGTGAAGAATACATATCGTCGATTCGTTGGCCGTACGGACTGCTCAACCGCTGCGGACCACGCGCGGGGCGGTTAAAATGTTGCGAGAGCACGATTTAAACAAAGGCGAGTTTGTATTGAAGCAAGAGTTTTACCTCGCGGCGCGTGCTCCGCGGTTATGTTCAGTCCGTACAGTCAACGAATCGACGATACTCTTGCGCCTACATTGAAGCTCGCTATCTTATTTCATCTAGAGTAAATTTTTCCAGTTAGCATACCGGTGCTCCAAGCTTAGTTTCAGCATCATGTGTGATTGCACTCACGTCAGCACATCCAGGAATGCGCCACTCATACAGTAATCAGGCTAGTTGTACAATTCTTTGCAAGTTACACTTCATAAACTAATATACTAACTGGAGCTCCACGATAAAATGTCAAGCGCCTGGCGCACGCCCGGCGGTTGTGCTGTTTTTTTTTTTTGTTGAAAAGTTCGTATTTACCCTGATTCAACGAAATTGGCGGTGGAAGACGACCGCACACGCCCACGATGCGTCTGCGTCTCTCTATCATTCTCTAGCCTTAGGGAACGGCCATAGTTTGCCGGCACGGTTGTCGAGGTTGGCCGTTGCCGGGGTCAGAGACAGCTTAGAGAGCGCGAAGCGTGGAGGCTATTACGGGGTCCTAAACAACCGGCAACCTCGGCAACCCCGACAACCTCGACAACCTCTACAACCGTTGCCGGCAACCTATGGCCGTTCTCTTAATTAGGTCACGAAGCCCCGCTTTCTGCCGCCTATTCAGTTGATTCAAAGAGTACTATGAAACGCGAGTAGACGCATGTTGTGCTACAAGTTGCAAAGTTTATTTTGAAGTGCCTCATTTTGCTGTTTGTGTGACATGCTACATACATCCGTCTCAATTGCATTGCCCCCTTTTACTGCGGCAATGCATCCACAACGCGAGCCCCTCGCATGCTCACTTCTAAAAGGACGATCTGATTTCTCAAACATTGCGAACGCTGCGCGAGCCACTCACTAGACAGATGCGGTGTATGAAGGGGACATTACGAATGAGACAGAGTGTAATGAGGGAAGAACTGAAGAACCGAAGAGATTGTTATTGCAATTGCTGTACAAAGTTTACCGCATATTCACAACAAGGTGACACGTAGTTTGTTGCTTCTCAATTTGAGAAGTCAATAGTGTTTGTTTGAGAGTAATAATGGACATGCAAGATTATTGGGTTATTGTTGTGATCAGAGTGCTCAGATACTATGTAAAGGCTGGGAGATGTCATGTCGTGGTAGATGTGTCCTTCTGGTGCCCACATTTACCGACAACATTTATGACTGAACAAATTGTCAGGGATGCAAAACTGTGCGCCCTGCGGCCTTCTTGTGAGCGCAAAGTGATGCTAGTACCAAAGGCGTAGTGCTTTGTTCACGCGCAAATGTTATCGGCAATTTTTGAAGCATAGGGACGCTATTTCGGCAATTTTTGAAACGCAGGGTCGTTATTTCAATCCACTAGCCTACAGTTAAGTTTTTAGAGATTGCATGATCATTTCACGCAACAAGATGTCTTTTTGGACCCTTCAAAGTAACGGAGGGCGTGCAGGATCCTCCAAAGACTCGCCGCTTCTACTCCAGGCGCACCCGCAGAGGTAATATTCACTTCGCGCCTACCTCGCACTTACGTGTCCCGCACATTCCTGGATTAGTTCCCCTCTGGACAATCACCTTGTTCCTCCTGGCATAATCAGAGAGAACACTACATAAGCGACGAGTTAATGATTCTTATTGGAAATGCTGAAAAGCTTCCGATTGTGGCCATCGAAGATGTGGCAGAGAGTAGGGTAAATGCTGACCTTGGTTCCTCGAGTGCGAGGATTAGTTTACAGATATTTTTGAAAGTGTACAGCTCCGTAATAAGGCCTCGGACAGAGTTCAAGCGATTTGATCGTCGCCATTCAATCGCTGCGATTTCCATTCACTTTCATTTTATATTCAAAAATTTTGGGCTGGAAAAGTATCACAACCGAAATGCAAGCTGGTCGGCATGCTATAAACTCGTAACAGTTCTTGTCGCGACTGAATCGCGACGATCAAATCGCGTGAACTCTGTCCGAAAAGATAGTTTGGAGTTATCTTTTTCTGCATTTAAGCCGGCCATTGAGCACTGACTCATCCAGATGGGTATGTTATTCAACTACATTAGATCTCTTAAAGAAAATGACTTAAAATTCTTGCTTGGTTACTTTCTTACTGCTATGTTTGTTCAAATTTCTCCTTTATGCACATCTTCTTTTGAAGAAGATGATTGCAGATCTTTTCATCTGTATTTTTGCATGCCTAATTTTTCCAAAATAAGCGTTTGAATTAATAAAACGTTAAGTTAGAGTTTAATGTCGTTAGCGTTTGATGCCTCTAATCTCATGTATCACATCTTCACGAACGCAAGCATTTTTCTTGTCAGTCGGCTTATTTTAATGTCTGTTTTCACAGTACTTTCATTTTTCTTTAAAAATCATGTACTCTTCGCTTTTTGTGCTGTTATTGCTAATTACTGCCAGATAAAGCAGAGCATTGTCCGGAGGAGAACTAATGCAGGTATGTGCGAGATAGGTGCGACGTAGGTGCGAGGTAAGCGCGAAGTGAATATTACCTCCCACGGGCGCGCCTAGAGAAGTAGCGACGAGCCTTTGGAGGATCCTGATACGCCGCCCAAGGTAACAATATTTTTTATTTCGGTACAAACAATTGAACAAGCCAACAATATTCATTCATAAATACAACAATATACAACAAAAACAGAAACAATGTGAGTAACAAAGAATAAGCGAGTACGTGAGTAAACTATACAATGACCGCAATTTGATTAATATTACGGTTTAATCTTGTTATTTGGTAAGATTTTGTTCGTAAGGAAAAAACATAAGAAAAATTACTCTAAATCATGGCCTGTGTTACTTCAAAAATGTGGCTACAATCACAGGCCAGTTAGCAATCAACGCATAAATGGCAACAACTAATATTATGATTATTAAAGTCCAGCACAATAATTGCATGCCACACTTGTGCCATGCCCAGCAGATACACGGGCGCACTCTGAAGTTGACCGGATTATTAAGTTCTCATGTGACTGATTGTGAGCGAAGTGTTCGTTGCGTGAGATATCGCTCAGGGAAATTTGAGAGTTCCCTACGGTGCTGACAGCACTTGCGCGTGGACAAATTGCTAGGTCTGTAACCCCTATAACTTGAGCATTTGTCATGGAGCGCAAATTTCAAACGGTAGTTTAGTAGGTCACTGATACTCACCCTTTGATTGGCTTGGCGGGTGCTTCGTGAACTAATTAAGGCCAGGTAATGGTCCGAGAGCACGTGCGCGGAAGTGACGCAGACTGCATCTATCCCGTGCGCGTGCTCTCTGATCATTACTTAGCGTTAATAAGGTCACGAAGCCCCGCCTTCCACGCGCCAAGCCAGTTGAATCAAAGGGTACATCCTCGTTTGTCTATATCTATACAAAACCACGTCAGCCAATGCAACTAACCTCGATGTAATCCAGAACATATTCCATTTTGATCTCAGCGGCTTTGGTAGGTAGGGATTCTATAAGTAGAGAATTTTGACGCAAGTCTTCCATTTGACTTCGTTTCCTGCTGCATAAAAGAATGTCTTACATGATTTGGCTCTTTTCTTTTCTTTCCTACTGGATCAGCTTCTGCTTCTGCTGCTGTGACTAACGACATTTCCAATTCGACCAGTCCCATGATATACAATTGTTTAGGGTCGTAGTCATCATCTTTCTTTTTTGCTGCATCATCATCTTTCTCATTAAAACGTTTTTTGTTCAACACAGGCCACCATCCTCTAAGACTTTCTGTATCAAATAGATTAACGGTGTCTACTTCATCTCCTGGTTTTTCATACTTCTGAAAATTAGGTTGAAGCTCTGAAGAAATTGCTCTATTTTCTAAATACTGACCATTGGTTTCGGAAACGGCACTTTCTTTGTTTTTTGAAACTTACAGCAGCACTTAGTGTCTTTGCAGGCAATACATAATCTGAGCGAAAATATTTGCAACCATCATTTTGAAAAAATTTACCTAACCTGACACAGCAGCATCTCCTGCTGCAAAGTTTGCATCTTCTCCGTGTTCGCTTCGATCTCAATATTCCGATATCTTCTGGATCAGCGATTCCCTCTTAAAAATTCGATTATTCATCACCATGCAGTGTAAAGCATAAGACTACCTTTGAAGTGTGTTATATCCATTACCATTTCACCTAACATTACATCTTTTCTAAATTTATTCTTGTCCCAAAGCTGAACTCTAAGAAGCGGCTCTATCATTTCCTCGCTCTTTTTTCTAAACAAGTTCAATTTATATCCGTCATTGTTTGCCAAAACGTTTTGAATAATGCCTAAACAGTCTCTTCTTCCGATAATTCACTATCTTGTTTTCCCAGGGATTGAAAGCTATATCAATTACGAATCTCCAGTTGAACTCTCCACAGCCATCCAGGGACCTCAAATAACGTTTATAGATACTTTTGTTTCCTTTTTGGCTCAGATCGTAAACTCACCGAAAATGAACATCGGACTTTTGCGGCTTTTCTGTACCATTTGTGAATACTTTGACATATAGGTCTGCCGTCTAAAGTTGATTTTGAGTCAGTTTTCCTTGTATGTAGTATGGGTCTTTACCGGTTGTCCAAAACTCCTTTTGACCGGTATTGCACCGGTAACACTGAAAAGAGCCACACGCAATTGGTAAAGCTCTGGTTCACGTCGAGAAATATCGATAGGAGGTGGTGCGGCACCATAGGGTAGCTGGAAAATAACAGGGTCATATGGAAATATCATTGTCAAAGTGTTTACCGGGAAGAGATCCACAAACATTCTTAACTCTCCACATGGTGTGTTGCCAGACATTTCCGTGAATAAATACCGTGTTTCGACATGCTCCGGCACAAGATTCATCTGGAACTTGTCCTTGAAAATGTGTCCAGGGGAATCTGGGCATCTGGATTTCTCACGTGGATACTATTGGGAGATCTTGACTGAGCTGCTCAAGTGCCAACTCGTACGATCCAATATGGCCGAAAATTTAAACTTTAGCTCTTGCCCAGTACCGTATCTGCTGTTGGCTGGTCTAGGAAATGATGCGGTAGTGGGCAAGAGTTCAAATATTCTCGGTCATGAATGAATCATATGAGCTGCCTCTCGGCCATTGATTTAATCAGGACCCCTTAATCAGTTTCCACAAAAGGTTAGGGTGTCCAGACTTTCCTGACCTTTTAACAGTCATTAAGTAAGTGATAAGTGTTGCACCTTCGTCAAAATGTAGACTGCAACTTGCTGTAGAGGTCTACCAACAATCATTGCTCGCTGTTCTCGTCTAACCACCAGCCGTTCCTCGGGTGTCAGTTCCTGAGATATTTCAAAAGATCCTTTCTCTTCTTTAAATTCTAGCAGATTTTCACCTTGCCCTTGATTTTCTCTCCATGTTGAGCTATAGCTGCTCTCTTAACCCGTTCTTCTTCTACCCTGTTACTCTTGAGTGATTTTCCACTTTCCTCCTGTTCTTTGCAACATTATTCTTTAGGTCTTTAGGTAATTCAAGAATGAATTACCTCTTTTTGGAGTGGAGACCCTTCGGGCTCCTCTGATGGTGTATCTTTTCCTGCAGTAGCTCGTCGTGAAGATTTATCCTCTCTGAAATTTATTGTGTTCGTCTACCAAAACATTGTAAGTTGTTTGGACCTACTCTTGCATGACTTTGACCACTTCTGAATGCCAGATCTCAATATCAAACATTTTGATCCCTATGTCATCTTCTTTCACCAAAATTTTTGGAGCTGGTACTAGCATCTTCTTGCAATACCTGATAGTTCTTCAATTCGGTGAGAGGAACAGAGATAAGAGAAATCTATCTCTCTTACCCTCTAAGTATCGACAATGGGCTTTGTTGATCACGCCACTGTAGTTCTCCTTGTATGGTAAACTGCTTGCTAAGGCCAATGGTGCCTCTCCATTTGGTTAGGAGACGATTTTCTAAGTCAATACGAGTTGCACCAATTTCATCATCTGAAAAGTGACAATCTGACATATCTGCCCCTTCGGAAATAAAGAGAAGAAAAATTAACGAATTTGAGAGCGGTACTCAAAATATCTTTACTTATATTACCTGATATAAGTTTTCTACGGTCCATTACTGATACGATCAAATCTTTCTCGAGAGGAATTGTTATATCCATTTCTATTAACTCTCCAAATATGGGATCTACTGTATCTGGCCGATAATTCTTTTTCAGATTCACCTAAAACAGAATTTCTTCTTATTTAGTTATGATGCCATTTCGAGTGACCTTTTGCTTCCCGCATTTCACCATTATGTACGGATCACACATGCCATTTTTTCGTTGTGATACTAAACCTTTGGCTTCGATGACATATACTCGTAACAGACATTTCACAGTGCCAAGAAACTCAACACCAGGTGCTTCGAGAATTGCTGGAAGAATTTGATTCTTGAAGAAAACTCGGTATCCGCATATTTCTGGTACCACTATCGCTATCTTCTTTATTTATCCGCGTGATGAACACTTTCCCTTTGAGTTCGCCAGTCTTTTCTTTCTCTTCGGGATCGTCAAAGTTTCCCTGAACACGTAATGAATAAATGAATAACACAGGAAATAGAATTACCATGGAGCTTTTTACAAAGGTGAACGTATCCAAAAAATCTTGGAAACCGTTGTAATTATTGACGCACTCGAGTGGTTCCTTGAAAACTGTCAGGTACTCTATCCCTGATCTAAAATGCACTTTTCAACGTTTTGTCTGAGTTCTCCAATTCACTATCAACCACTCACTCTTCAAATCCTGGTGCTTTTTCGAAATATCCCTCCGAAGCGTAATATTTACTCCACCAGTCCAATTTTGGCATATCGTCTTTCCGTAGTGATGGTATGAGCGGGGTTTTCAATAGCGCTGAGTCCTCCTCGTCCATGTGCTTTTCATAATCTTCCCAATCCGATTTTTCTTCTTCTGCTTTCTGCAAAATTTACCGAATAGCCGCTCTATGAATTTTCATTATCTACAATTCGTACCTTCTTCGCAGGAATTCGCGCGTATTTCGCAAAATCCATGATGTGACATACGCCAATTAGAGGTTGCCTTTTGAATGCTCTTATGTCGTACAAGTTGATCACAAGTGGTGGGCTGAACTGGAGATCCGACGGGAGAGAAACCTGGAACTTTGCTTCCAGACACTGATTTACATACATCAAAGAAATGTAGCAAAAGCACTAATCTACCTTTGGGAATGTGATTAGTGGTGTGCTGAAGTTCGGATTTTTGGCGACATTCTCGATAGGATCTGTTGTTGTATCTGTGTCGCCGATGATAAGTTCCAAATAAGGCCGACGAATTGAAAGAAACTAAAATCGGTTTATTCACAGATATAAGACTCCTGTTTCACTTACATTGTGCTTTTTGAGATTCCGAACTCCCCAGCAAAGCACTTGCACCACGAAGTCATCAAATTTAGGTCTCAGTTCACCAGGAATTTCGAACCGCTTACTAGAAAAAAGATTTTGAGGCTTGCGATCGACTGCAGAATCTCTGAATTCATTTTTGTAGGTCGTATATGCCAAAATTGCTGCATTTATCTTCATATGCGCAAGAACGATATAGCAATACCAAATGATAATTATGTCAATTCGTAAACCAATTTTTTTCAATGAATTTCACTTGCAGATGTAGCTTACGTGCTACAATTGACAAAAAATTCTTTTTGTATTTTTTAAAAATATTTCATAGGGTCACCATGTTGTTTAAATACTTACTCGACGCTTTTCCTTGCCGGTAAGAGTGGCAGTTCATCTTTATTGAATTCGTCGACATAGAAAAGCTCGAAGCAAGCAAGTACAGCACCTCTGAAAGAAGATGGTCAATATATACCATCAGCAAGAGTTTCTAACCTTGTCTTCGAATTTTGAAATGTTAGCGTGTGCCAATTCAGTTTCGCTCGAGAATCCGTAGTTGCGCAGATGACAACTGGTGCAGCTTCAAAACGGCCAAGAAAAATCTGAGCACATTGTTAAAATACGTTCAAGCGAATCTATAGATACCTCGCTTTGGTCTTTCCTTTCTCCACGAGCTTCTACCAGAACTATTGGCGGATTCCAGCTGATCTGTCTTTTACCGCCAGTGATGAGCACCTTTGAATGAGTGGTCAATTAGTTCAAAATTCTTGCAACTGGTTAGGTTTGCAGTTTTGTCATTATTTGGATTTTCTGATTATTTGCGCTTGCACTTTTGACTTCCAAATATCATGCTGTTCATTGTGGGGTGATATTGTGGGGACAGAGGAACGCATATCGCAGTAGCTTGCAGATGGCCCCTATTGGCGCAAGTCTTTCCTTTCTTTGGTTCAGGAATGATAAAGGTAAAGTCGAAATTTCTTTCGCATGCTGCTCTGAGTGGCTCATGGACTTACCTTATTGAAAATCAAGGTTTCATTCCATATAGGATTTTGGGAATTCTCAACAACCAACGTTTGCTGTGCTCTGGTAAGAAAAGTAGCTCGAACAAATGCTCGAGCGGTGTTCTTTGCCACTGGAAGGAGATCCTGAAAATTTATTTGAACAAGTGTCGCTCTATGGCTTTCATACCTTGGCCCAAAGGAAGTAGCAACGCAGGTGCCATGCAGTCGTCACTTCATGAACTTCATAGAGACGTGGCACGAAATACATTTCATGTTCTCGTTGCCTCGGCAGGTTCCTTACAATGGCTTTTCAAGCGTAGGCGATTTAGTATTGAAAGTATGGTAATTTCTAACCACCATGGAATATGGTCTACAACTGGACTACGCTTCATAATGGGCAGGGATTTTGCTCACGCTTTTTTGGACATCTGTACGCTCTGTCTCAATGACAGTGTCGTATGCTCGGCGGCTTCGGTTCCTGACGACGGCCTTGCTTGAGACTGCGCCGCGTCTGCGACGTGTTCTCCAGGTATTTTCCCACGTCGAGTCGCGACAGAAGGCTGGCAGGCTTGTGAAAATGCTTGAAGGATAGTGACAGACGGAGCGGAGGTCCCAAGCGAGGCTGTCGCGCAGCAGCCAAGCCGCAGCCGGTGACACTGCTATTGAAACAAAGGGACTATGTGGATGTGTGGATGTTCATCGGGCTCGGCTCACTTTTTACTCAACTAAAAAAATCTCACTTCTGTCTTTCCACTTCCATCACAAATCTCCTCCTTCTGATCGTATCCCCACTGAATTCTTGATAGTGAAAAGGTTTGTTTTTACCGCTTGCATACTACAAAAACGTTTTGTATAACAAGTACAATGAATATTCATGTACCTCCCATTTAGTGTCCCCCAAAGACTGCTCGTAAGTTTCAAAGTCTTGATTTTTGAAGTCCAAAGCCTTTCGAGTTCTTTTGATACATCTTCTCCGGTATTTATGGTCTGCTCTTCTTTCGTTATCCACAGTCCCAGTTTCACCCCAGAAAACATCCGTTATCGCGTAAACCCAACCATTTTTGTCACCGTAATTTTGATGGGTGTCTGGCATCCATCTGCCTTCGTATTTCCATCCTAAATCAGTGTTCCATGTAAAAAAGTGCTTAATGACGCTTGTTTCTCACCTCTTTCCGGAGTGTGTAAGCTTTGCTTCTTAATTTCCCCACCAAAGTAATCGGTAAATTTTAACGGCTGCCATCTTAAACAAACCTGTAAAGTTCATGGCCAATTATTATGTTCAGAGTTTACCCGTTATCTCGCCATTCCTGTACTTCAAAAACTTTATCATCACATGTCTGTCGTCCATCACTTGAGCAGACCCACATGTCATGTGTATTTCTCACTACCCAGTTACCCTCAAACAAGTCAGCGTTTGAATGCTGCACTGGGGTAAAAAGTAAGTCCCATTTTAGACTCTCTTAGTTGGAAGCTGAATCTGGCATCCCACCATATAATTCCATCCAAAAGGATTAGTTGATAGATACTCCATTAGGTCTTCGCTTTCGTTCTCATTCGTATAAGTAGCTTTGTCTTTCCAAGCCGATTTTAATGTTCCTCTTCGCTAAAATGTTGTTTTTTGCACATTCATTATTCACAAGGAACTTCACCAGGCTACCTGGTAACTAAAAATCTCAAAATATGTTTTCGCTTCCGCTGGTCTAATCGCTTCCTTCCATGACCACTCGAACGCGCGCCGTCCAAACCACATCTTCACATGAATAATAGCAGGAAACTGTAAGAAAGTTCTTTATTTTGAATCTGAAAGTGCTGACGTAGGGCACACTTTTGGCTAGCTATTATCAACTTTTGCCGGTTCAAATCACTATTTTTTAGTTCAGATCAGCTCACATCTTCCTTTCTGCTCTTGCGATCAGCTGCAGTTGGCCATTTCATCGGTATGGTACGCAAACGCCCGCACCATTCGCCACACAAAGCATCGTTCTCAGAAAAGTAAATCTAAAAGTTGGAATGCTTAATGACATAATTTACGTGAAACCCCTTGTAGGGACGAACTTCCGCCATGGGGCACAAGATTCTTGGGCATGGGAGAAAACCATTTGTAGAGATTCTCCCTCTATCCACTATAGGTCCCTTGACGAAGGCGCTTTATCTTGCGAAGCTGTGCGAACGCGGTGTTTGAGCATCTTCCATTCTTAGAGTTCGTACGCACGCGCAAGCTTCGCTTACAAGGAACCGCTTTCGTCTGGGACCAGTCTTTACCTCCTCTGCCCGTATCATACTGTAGCCCACCACTCTTCCACTTGCTAGCATTTTGATCAGGATGTAGGGTGTCGAAATCTATAAAGTTATTAAAATGGGGTGAAAATGATTGACTTGAAGTGTACGCACTTGACAATCTTCCGATATTCTAAAGACGTAATCTCTCATCCTCTGTAGAAAGCGCATAACTTTTTCACCCATTTCATCATACGGATGCACTTCATCATATTTGAAGCCATCAATTTCTTTCAGAATCTTGAACAAATCAAACACGCTCAAAAGATATTATTAGAGATTTCTGTATTTGAAACCATCCGAAACCAAGAAATTGAACATTTTTGCACTCAGGCAAACCTTTTCTATTGTTCTTCTACGAGTTTTTTGCCAGCATAAATCCAGTTCATTTGATATTTTTGCACTGAATGCACTGAACCAAAAGTCCGTTTTTTCGAAGCCTTACTTCAAGAAACTCACACATCATGTTCTAGCAACCGAGAAAGCATGCATTCCATGTGTTCAAGGGCTTCCATTGCAAGTGAAGCAACTTGGTCATTCTTCTCGCTGTCGATGGGTTTTGCAAGGGTTAGCAGCTTGTCCAGCATAAGAACAACCTAACGATATAAAATTCTGCGCAAAGCCTAGGTCAGAACGAGGGCGGATGCCGCAGGGAGACGCAGAAACGCGCCGCGGAACTTTTATGCCATTAGCGTGCGCATCCTATGCGCTCCACCGCGTTAATAGCTGTACAGCCGCGATCGTGACGACTGTCGATATCCTATGCATTCGCCTTCGTCCGGAACTAATCTTCATAGTAATAAGGCATGGTTTGCTGCGTTATTTACCTTTCTAATAGCATTGCTTCTCTCCATTCGTCCATCTACCTCTTCCCATAATCCTGGAACATCTGCCATAGGCTTGTGATTACCCCAAGGCATAGAGAAGTACTTCTTATCGTCATGGTCTGGCATCGCCTAAAATCTTTACGCCTAAACAAAATGTGATGCTGATTTTGTGTCGTACGCCTAAAACAGAGCTTCTGTTCCGTGAGAGTTCGGCGCCGGTGCTACCGTATTCGCCCATAGAAACATAGAAAGATATTTCCTCACTGGCAAACATTGGATTTATCAAATTACATGCGAAAAATGAGCAGAAAACATTGTAGCGATGCATCATCTAGAAAGTTCATAAAAAATTTATTTGGAAAACCTAAGAGTTTTACCTCAAATCTGGTCGAATGCACAAGCGAACTATGATCAACAAAAGTCTTTTGTACTGTTTCACCTATGTAATCTGCACAGCCAATTGAGACGAGTAGCCGAGCCAAATATCTTCAGTTGATGTTTTGAATTGTGAGCCGTTCCTACACCAGCACTTACTTGCTTCCTTCTCCCTCGCGTATCATGCTCTTTTCTTTTTCACTCAACCATTTCAATCGTTTGAGTTTTTCATGGCCGAAAAAATTGATAAATGCTGGACCAAATGTTGGCATAAAGCCTTCCTTTCCAGGCTCGTACATTAGTCGTGTCAGAATTGAAGTCTAAAAGATACGAATAATATGTTGTGAGCAGCGCTGTAACTCATGGCAGACCTGTCCTATACATCGTCTCCTACGGCCTTTTCTCATGATCAACTGAAAGTTCACCTGCAATAAGTTGCTGAACTTTTGATCGAAACTGGGTTGAACTGGTAATAGAAATCATAGGGTTTCGTTGTTAAAGGCAGCGCCCGAGCAATAAGTCGACTTTGAGATTTGGTAGCTACCTGGGCCTATCCGCTGGCACCAAAAATCCACGCAAGATAAAGTAAAAGCGGCGACGAAGAACCGTAACACAGGAGAAAAATCAGCAGATTTATAGGGCCTTCTACTTGAAGTCACTGTCCCACCTTCAAGAGCGATCTTCCGCCAGCCATCCTAACATCGCCACCGGCCACGTGCGAGCGCGTGATTGAATTCGGAACCGAGAAGATCGCCTTTTGAGGGGAGAGTTACTTTACAAAGTGGAAAGCCCCCCATCTGCTGAATGCCCTTCTGCGTTAAAGCCCTCTTTCGACGTTTTCGCGCTCTCCGGTGACGATTTTCGCACAGCAAAGCGAATAGGCCAGGTGAGCACAAAATCTTAAACTCGACTTTTTGTCCGGACACTGCGTTCAAATTGTCGTTGCCGCTAGTCATGGACTACCCAGCCGCGGGTCTTGGCGCAACTATGGAAATCAGTGCAAGCTTTAGTGGTCATGACGACTGCTGACGCAGATCTTGTAGGACAGTGAGGGATAGAGGTGTTTTTGCAGTTGCCTAAGTCTTTCGTCTCCGAACATTTTTATTATAATTCTGGTAAACTCCACTGTTCAATATGAATGATAAAAGGTCGTCCCCACTTTTCCAAAGCAGTAAACCCACCTTTGAGATAACAGTAGGCCACAATATGGGAAGAAATATTTCTTGATTGAAACCAACGGCTTGAGTGAGCAGATCTCCGATGCTGTACGGTCCTAGCTCTTCGGCGCTTGACTCACATAACTCTCTCCCGAATGTCACCTGTGGTAGATTTTATCTTTGAGCTTGATCTTCAATCAGAATTCACCTTTATGGAAAACTTTATTGGCTTTCCCTTATTTGAAAATATTTGTTTATGGATTTCTTCAGCAATTTGATGAAGTCGAAATAGTCTTATCTAAACAGACAGTTTCTCACGGTCATATTCGCGGTTTTCATTTTTTAGGCAATTTTATTTCGTGGCCTATGTAACCCACTCTCAATGAGATCTCTTCTAATTGAGCACCATTCCAGATTTCATCGCTTACAATATCGTCATTCATTCTTGGAGGGCAAGTGTCCATACCAAATACACACATCGATACCTGGAAAAGAGCCCTTTTGTTTAGAAAAAGGGAAAAAAAATCAGTGAATACCTTCAAAAATCCGCAATTTTCATGCACTGCTTCGTCATCGTCCTCATCATAAGGGGTTCGCATAGCAATCCATTTGGAAATGATAGCTTGTCCAGGCGAGTGAATAATTGCACCCAGAAGGCAGAAGAATTCTCCTTTGACTTTTTCGGAGAAACGTTTTGCTCTTGTCACCTACGAAAAGTTGACCGTATGATATTGCTTAATTGGTTCACTCACCTTGATAGTCAGTGTTTCGGTGGCAAGCTTTTGCAAAGTTGTATCTTTCAACATAAATACGAGATTTTGTTTCCATTTTGGAGTCCCTTGTGAGCAAACGCGAGTACATTTCTGAATTCCCTCTAGGTACGCTCTAACTCTCAGCGAACCTGTTTTCAAGTCTCTTCCTTCAATCACACGCACAAGAACCTAAATACTCTTCAAAGTTAGGCGCTTTTCTTCAAGAAGGGTCTAAAATAGAGCGGTCTTATAAAAAAGATGCCCTCACATGCCAAGTAGTTTTCACATCAGCGTCAATGAAAGCCTTTTTGCCAAAGTTTGCATCAGTCTGTGCAATGCGTAGGCTTGGTTCTTCCGAGGGCTCCTGAACGAAGTGCCGTCTCATTTCCATTCTTTTGTTCAGACTGGGGGGATGGTGGAAATTCTTTTTATATGGGAGACTACCAGGGAAGGCTCAAGCATCGACGGAGACTTCTAGTGGCACTTTGCAAGATCATAAAGCCATCAGCCCATTCTATCCTTTTGTATTGGACACAAATAGATGTCTCTATTATTGGACCTCGGGTACACTTCACGCGATTCTCCAAGACAACTGTTACGAGTCCACTGCATGCCCGATCCTCTTGCATCTCGGTTGTGATAATTTTCTGACATGACTACCCTAATTTCACGCGATAAGGCGCGGGGGATTTTTTTCCAACCAGCCCAAACACGCCAAAAGACTTCAACCAAAGGACCCTATAGCGTGCTGTATATTGCTTGAGAGAATCGTCCGATGTAAGGATTTCTTTACGGGATGCAGTGAACCGGCTGAGCGGCTCGCTTGAAAATTCGAAAAAGTGCGCCTTATACGCATAAAATTAGGATAATTATCACAACCGAAATGGAAGGTGATCGGAGTGGACTCGTAACAGTTCTCTTGTCGGGGGAATCGCGAGGCAGAGAAGTCGCGTCTATGACCTATGCCCCGCAAGCCAACGTTTTCCTTTAGCGTGCCTCAGTCTTCAAAAAGATGCGTTTTTTGGCGGAAGCGGAGTGGTGATCTGCAACCTTGATTTTGAAGGTTTAGAAGTGATTTTGAGGGCTATCAATTGAAAGGTCATGCTGTAATACTATAGACGAACCTCCTCAGAATCTGAGGGACTATCTCCACCATCTCCATCGGACTGAAATGTGACTTTGTTTTAAAAGTAGTGAATTGTCTTCCTAAATTGATGACCTCCTTCAGATGTTCTTCCTCCTCTCTTTCGCTGATTCTTGAGACAAGTTTTGACGCGCTCCTCTTGATTAGAGCTCTTCCAACTGCTTGTTTGATCTTCTTCATCGTCGTCTGTGTAGCGTCACACCTGATCCGAAATTAAACTCAACTCATGCTTTGAAATGATGAATGCTCAACAAATTCCAGGAAAACTGTGTCTTACCTGTCCTACATGTTCCTATCATTCACAAGTGTGCTTAGCATTTCATTTCTGAGAAATAATGACTTGGGTGATTGGCAAGCTTGGGGCTTTTTACGCTTAGTGAATAGGTGATACTCATCGTCAGTAACCGAATATCCATTCTGTACTTCATGAATGCTCTGAATGGGCAATAGTACTTGGGAGCAGTAAAGCGCATGTAAACTAATAATAATACACAGAACGCATAATCACTTGTCTATATAGAGACGCTGCAAACTTTTTCGAGAAATTTTCTGAGAGAGTTCACTCTGAATGATTCAAAAATTACTCAAACAGGCGTTGTTAACCAAGACTCTAATCTTAATATCATCCAATTAGAGAACTGCAGACGCTTTAGATAATCACGAAGTAAGCAACAACCAGGAAGTTTCATTCAGAATTTGCATAAATCAAACAATTTCTCGATTATTAGGACTGTTACAGCGAAAGCGAGAGCAACTCGCAATATGCTCAGCAGGTTTTGCAGAGGAGAAAGCAGTCGTTTTTGAAAATAAACTGTAATTACCCTAAAATCCGTACAATAAGTCCCCCTCTCAGATAAGTCCTCTATCAGATAAGTCCGTTTTTTTCTATGGAAATGCACCCTCGCGCCACCAAAAGTCCCGCATATAAGTCCGCTTTTTTGCAGATAAGTCCGGACTTATTGGCGGGGAGGGAAATCAGCGGTGGGCGGGGCTTTCCCCAGTGCGATTTCACGCTCCCAGCTCCCGGAGCGATTTTCTCGATTCCGCTAGCCATCCTAACATCGCTACCGATCAAGTGCGAATGATTGACTTGAAACCGGAAGCGAGTAGGTCGCTCTGGAAGCCGGGAACGTGAGTTCGCAGTGGAGAGGACTCCGCCCACCTATTGATTTCCCTCCTGTGTTAGAGCCATTTTTCGCCATTTTCGCGCTCTAAAATGTGCATTTTCTGATTCAGCGTAGCGAATAGGCCCAGGTAAGCACAAAATCTCAAAATCGAGTTTTTGCCCGGACAGTGCCTTTAAAGGCAGTGTCCGGGCAAAAACTCGATTTTGAGATTTTGTGCTTACTTGGGCCTATTCGCTACGCTGAATCCGAAAATGCACATTGTAGGGCGCGAAAATGGCGAAAAACGGCTTTAACACAGGAGGGAAATGAGCAGGTGGGCGGGGTCCTCCCCACTGCGAATTCACGTTCCCGGCTTCCGGAGCGACCTTCTCGCTTCCGGTTTCAAGTCAATCATTCGCACTTGACCGGTAGCGATGTTAGGACGGCTAGCGGAATCGAGAAAATCGCTCTGGGAGCCAGGAGCGTGAAATCGCACTGGGGAAAGCCCCGCCCACCTGCTGATTTCCCTCCTGTGTTAGGGCCCTTTTTCGTCGTTTTCGCGCTCTCCAATGTGGATTTTCGGATTCAGCATAGCGAAAAGGCCCGGGTAAGCACAAAATCTCAAAATCGAGTTTTTGCCCGGACACTGCCTTTAAGTGCTATGCAAGTGTTCAAGAAATGCCCTATGAACTTATCTCTTGCTCACTTTGTCAATTTTTGTTGGAAAAGCGACCAAATACTAACGAGTTTACAGTCACTTGCATTTTACACGATTGACCTTATTGACGATATTCGTGTTTAGAATTTGTTGCAAGATATTGAGACAGAACAACCCAAGCAAGTTATCTGGTACCAGTGCGTCACCTCTGCTTCGCAGAGGCTCGAACTGGCCCTACTTTCTATATTCCTTACTCATGCATAATAATGACACTGAGACTCACCGCGCTATGTAGACTACAGTTGTGACAGTGGAATGTGAAAATTGTCGGCGGATTCGGCGATGTCGGCGATTTTGCGTTTTTCGCCGACTTTGGCGAATTCGCCGAGAATTTTCACATTCCACTGTTACAACTGTTTGGCATTGTCATAACTGTAGAAAAGCGTAGAAATGCTTACAGATTACTTCAGCATAAAGATTTGGATGAAAAATATTTACACACGGTTTATAGCGATCATCTGCTAGCAGCAGAGAGAAAATTACTGTTTTACCAATTTATTAGTCTCTCCTATGCGAGCGATGCTTACTTCAACTGCATATGGGAGGCTACAAAAAATATGGCGTATTCAGATGCGAGAGAGGTGTCTAACAACTTTGGGAGAGCCGATTTCATGGCCTGAGCATGCATGTTGGGGGCTAATAACTTCGCGAATATTACAGATATGAGGCTGGAGTTTGTTTTATTGGACAGATCTCAAAAAATATATTTTTACGGAGAAGGTCGTAGAATAACAAGTTTCCAATAAAAGTGCCTAATTGACAGCTGAAGTTAGGAAATATGTCAATAAAGGCGAGTTTGCGCCCTTATATCTCTGCAATTTGTAGGGTTGGGATAATCACATGTGGTCATTGATATGTACTTTTGATAGCTCTATTTTTCTAGAAGTAGCACGTGCCCGTAGCTCTAGCGTTGGAGGCGCTATATAAAGGCGATGATGCATATTTTGAATTTTATCTCCGTGGAGAGTAAGGATGACGGGCTAAGATAGCCATTCTTCTATTCGTATTCGAAGGGGACACCACATATAATTCGGAGAAAATGCAGGGCTCCGCCTGTGGGAGCCCATCTATAAACCTTCCCGGACTTCCAGTTCAGGGTCTCGCAATTTCTCACTTTTCTCCTCGCTCATTTTCCCCCCTCTATTTATTTCTGCAGAGCGTGTGATAATTACCCGCGGCCATCTGGACCTGGTTAGGAGGCTGAAAACGGCTAGAAAGGGGGTAAATCGGGCTAGAAAAACGCGATTTTCGCTTATTTTTTCTTATTTTTCCTTAAATTTTCTTATTTTCTTCAATTTCGTTCGTGATGTGGAGTATAAAGTAAGCGGAGCTTGCTTGGAGGAGTTTCAGCTGTATAAAAGCACTGGAAATGAGCTTATTATGGAGTTTTCGAATTTTTCGCTTAGTTTTCCGATAATTTTACCGATTTCCGAAATTTCGAAACCTCCAGAATATCGATTTTATCAATTTGTGTCGATTTTTGGGGTTTGCAACCTTCAAAATATCGATTTATTTTATCAAATTTTGTCGATTTTTGGTATATCGATTCTTGTCAATTTTCGGGATTTCGCAACCTTCAAAATATCGATTTTATCATGCCGATTTTTGGGATATCGATTTTTGCCAATTTTTGGGATTTCGAAACCTTGATTTTATCGATTTTTGTCAATTTGCGAGATTTCACAACCATTAGAATATCGATTTTGTCGATTTTCGGGGTTTCGCAACCTTTAAAATATCGATTTTATCGATTTTTGTCGATTTTCGGAATTTCACAGCCCTCTGAATATCGATTCTATCAAAATGTTTGAGGATTTGGTGGTTCACTAACCTCCAAAATATCGATTTTTCGCTTTTTAGCTGTAAACTGTAAGCCCCGCCCACTTATGATGTTACTATACAATACCACTCGCATAACTTGCAAAATTTCCGTGAATGTCGCGAAATTCCAAAAATTCCGCGAAATTCCAGGAATGTCGCGAATTTTCGCGAAATTCCGAAAATTCCGCGAAATTCCCGGAATTATGCGGAATTTTCGGAATTTTGCGACATTCACGGAAATTTTGCAAGTTATGTGAGTGGTATTGTATATGCCCGATATATGGGTAGAAAGTCATTTAGTTTTGATCTGAAGTTTTATGGTAATTATGCTCTGCGAACGGGATTTTGTTAGGGCGCAATCCAATACTCAATGTAGATAGAGAGTTAAGATAAACATCATTCGATACAACAGGTTCGTGAGTTTCTTAGCAGCTAAACATGGTGCAAAGTATCTTCTGAAGTGAAGGCGAGAATACCTAGCAAACTTTGTTAGAATCGAAATCTACCTGAAATTTAGCCACCGTTAACCCTACAGAATGAAGCTGTCACGGGGAGAAGATGTGTTTTTTGTAATCAGAAGGTTGGATAACCTCTATGCTCAATTTTTCTAAGAAAATGGCGCTATTTGACTTTTCTCGATTTTCGCTCTTGACCTCGCCACTGGTTTTGGCTGAAATCTTGATAATCTTGAATTCACCCGAAACTCCACTCACAGAAGTTTTCAACCCTAAGGTTTACGAAAATCCTAGTTATTTCGCGCTAAAGACTTCTACAGTGAAGTTTTAAACGGAAAAAATTAAGTTGAACCACGCAAGGTTGAAGATTCGTTGGCACTTCTTGTCCGTCTATCAAAAAACTTGCTTGCGTGTTTTTGTAAATTAGAATCTTTGTAAAGAACGCTATCAGGCTGTGATTAGCACAGGCCCCTATCTGCACTTTTCGTCAGATTATGAGGTTACAAACTCACGTTTTCTTGAATTTTATCCCGAATTTGAGAATCTTGTATTTTGGCGGATTCTCATCCCTAGAATGTGTCACCAGCAGCAAAACAATGTAAAAATTAATGTCAGCACATTGAGTGATCTATTTGAGCAGAAATTTGAAGATTTACATCACATATGCAGTCAAACAGTTGTGACAGTGGAATGTGAAAATTGTCGGCGAACTCGGCGATGTCGGGGATTTTGCGTTTTTCGCCGACCTTGGCTAATTCGCCGACATCGCCGAATTCGCTGAGAATTTTCACACTCCACTGTCACAACTGTATCACGAATACTTCGTAAACAACTACTCATTCCTAGAGGTTTTTCGTGTGAGATTGGTATTTTCGCTTGGATAAAAATTTTTTCTCAGAGAAACAGATGCAAATTTGAATAGGTTTTCGGAATCTTTATGGCTTGATAGGGACGAAAAACATCGTGGGCTACATCTCTGTGCAAAAATCTCCTCAAATGATCAGGTAAGTAAAATCTTGGCAAGTTGAACATTTACGCAACTAAATCTTTTTGGCGCCATTTTCGTAAAGCCGCCAACTT